TTCAAATAAGGCCTTATTTCATCACATGCATTCCTGATTCTGTCTATTAGCGTATCTCTTGTGGTTACGGGTGTCTGGTACACTTTTTCTTTTAGAAATCCCCACACAAAGAAATCTAATGGATTTAGGTCAGGGGATCGTGGAGGCCAGGCGACTGGTCCCCAACGACATAACATCGTCCCACATATTTGCATGTTCAGCCTTTAAAAATTCCAAGAAGGTCGCAGCATTTAACCTTACATGCAAAAGGTAGGGTCCAAAGTCGATTACGGTAGATACCAATCCACACGTTCACACTAAATTCATGCTGAAAATTTCTTTCCCGAACTGCATGCGGATTTTCATGCAACCAAATATGTTGATTATGAAAAGTTACCACTCCACGTCTAGTGAAGCATGACTCATCGGTCCATAAAACGTTACTTAAAAACTCCCTATTATTATCAGTTCTATCAAAAATCCACTGACAAACTATGATTCTTCGTTCTCCGTCCCCTGGCTGTAGTCCTTGCACAGGTTGCAAATGCTAAGGACGTCTATGGTCATTTCTACGAACACGGTGAACATGGCTTGCTGAAATTCCCAAGGCACCAGAAACTCTCCTAACACTTGCGGTCGGATCTCTATCAAACTCACGCAGAATCATTCGGGTAAATCTGCGCTGACGAACATTTATGTTTTGATCTCTTTAGAGATTTCCAAAACCATTTTCAATTATTTGGCGATGCACTCTTACAAATACTGAGCAAGTTGGATGTCCCCTGTTTGGAAATCTTCGTGCGTATTCTCTGGCTGCTTCTGCTGCGTTTCCATTTACAAAGCCATACACAAAATGAATATCCGCTAACTCTTGATTGGAGAATAAAAATGGCATTTTTATAAAACTTACAAAAAAAAAACAGGTAAAAGAAACTAAATTTCGTGCATTCACAATTGCAAAAAAACGTTTCAGGTTTCAACAGACAACAAAACTAACTGTCAACTGATTGACGTTTAACCTTATTCTGCTTTCAAATTTCAAAAATATTTTCAGGCACAGCCTACTTCTAAAAATTATCGAGATACTGACTTTTTAACGTTATTTTACCATAAATAATTAAAAATGCATCGAACCTTAAAAATCGAAATATCTCAAAAATGGCTAACTATAACGAAAACTCACAGGAGAGCTTTTTTATGTTGATAAGTGCGAAAAATCAGTTTTTTTATTCAAAAAGCAAAGAATTGCACTAATAAACATTCTTCGGTCATTTTAATACACTACAGGTACAGTAGAAAGCGCCCTCTAGCGGCTACAGTAAAACTATGCCCATGGTTCGTTTTGTTGTATCAAAAAATCCTTGTATTTAAAAAAAAACTATTTTAGAAAGTAAATTTAAACACCCTGTATTTCGGGAGCCACGCATTTTTCGACCCATGTTTATATAGACTTTATGCATTAATTTTAAAAGTTCTATCGAATCTTGAAGTTATGCAACAATAAACTGAAACACCCTGTATAGTTATAAAGTGGTTTTATGGGTGGAGGAGTGATCTAATACAAGGTGGACCAGAAAGACGTTTGAATTTCAAAACCGTTTGCTCGTGAAGGGCACGCGAGTCAGAAAGTTCGAGTCTACCGGTTCACCACTGAATCAGAAACCTGCGGGGCGTCCAAGGTCAATATGAACAGAGGAAAAGCTAGCACAATAATTTAACCATTTGAATTTTTTTGCGACTTTCTGCCTCCAAATTGTATATAGGTGAAATACACGAGAACTGTGGCAGTACAAGGCTTCCACATACAGTTTTTTTAGTGTCATAATTTATATTCTTGCGGTGGGTATACAGGATCCTGAGTGAAGAACAGGCATTTTTATATTCATAGTCACCTGTTTTCGGAAACTCAATTTTGAATCGAGTAATTAACCAAGGTCGTTTCCTTCTAGTTTAAGTGGAACATTGTCTTCTTCCCATGTACTTCTGACAATCTGACCAAAGAAAAATTGGACACCCCTACCCATCGGGTAACCCAAGCAGAGACGCCACAAATTGAAAAAATTCTACTGTCTCAAAAGTTACTCGAATATAAAAAGGAAGTACAGTTATATTATCTAATACTGTTACTGGCAAGATTTGCCTAGCTTTTGTGATCAATCTCCAAGGTACTGACGAACAGACATTATATGACATAAAATGATCCGCTTGGACATAATTATAAACGACATCGATCTGGTAAGTACATTCAATTTAATCCTGCATCGTTTTTCTCACGTAATATCTTGCATATATTCACTCTCGATGGCATTATAATATAAAATCTGATGGGATAATCTCAACGTGAGCCTATATGGTCTCCACATTGATCAGACCACATTATTATTCATAATAACACTTCCCAAGTAAAGACACACAGAGTAAAAAGAGAGCAAAAGCTTTACAGGATGGCTCAAGAATACAGAAACTTTGGAAGCATCCTATGCTTCATACTGTAGCCATGAAAAGAGCATTGTATTGTATACTAAGGTAGTCGTAAAGGCGAAACCTACGTATCGCGATTGACTGACAAAAGCTTTGAACTGCTTAGGGGCCAAATTTCTCTTGACAAGTCATTCCACATTGTTAACGTCCTTGAAACAAAAGTGCTGCCAATTCTGGTTGTATGGTACCCGTTTTACAGTCAGCAAGGGCAAGAGAAATGTTGATCAAACGCATGCGCACCAACAATAGTTAGGAACTTACAAGTTACCAATGCAGTGAAAATCCGCATTTATTTCTGGGAGCAATTTAAAAAAAACACAAAAAATGTTGAATGATTTTCTATGCCAAAAATATTGCTTCAGTAGCTTCAATCGCGGTACCAACTCCGCACTGGTATCTTGAAGAGTGACATTTTGTCGGTATTTTTGACGTTTTGTAAGTTTTTCCGCCATAACGTAGGTTTTTCTACAAGATGTCAACTTAGCACAAGCTGATGTACCCTTGTTGTGAACTCGATTTGCACCTGTACGTGTTGCTTAAACGTCAGCGAACAGCGATCATAGTGCTGGTGAGTTATGATGTCATCCGTCATCAAGGTTTCAAAAGGTTAGCGCTAGAGGATTAGTTAGTGTTGCATCCATTCCGCTATCACAATTTCTTAAAGTCCTTGTAAACTCATTGCGACAGCTCCAATGTATTTTGAAAATTTTCGAACAAATAGATGGAAAGCATAAAATCTCCCAGAAAAAGCTCCACTGGGTAGGTGATTCTACCAAATTATTATTATAACTTCACACATGTGGTTTGCTGTCATAATTTTAATAGAGAAGTTATATTACGTATTAAGAAAATAAGAGAAACAATTTTTATTATATATCTCAACATTTACACAGATACAGGATTTACTTTTCTAACGGTACTGGGCTACTACTGTATTTCTCTATGTACTTCTCTTCATGAGTTTTTTCACTATTGGTAGTAACTCCTTCTGTCAGTGAGTGTTCTTTGCAACTCTTATTGTGAGAGTAATGTCGTTGCTATTGATATCACTAAAGCATTCGATCAGCTGTGGCTTGCTGCCCTCTAATACACACTTTCATCATTTGCCCTCCCAGAGAGCTTTGCAGGTGAGCGTCTGCATTTCTCTCTGGCCGCAAGATATCCGTCATTATTGATGGGGACTCATCTTCATCCCGTTTCCTGTACGATCAATCTAATCCACAGCTTTGCTGATGAAAGCACTCTACATACAGGAATTTAGAGTGTCAGGCCGATCTCTGTCAGTGAGCTGGATGAAAGAGGACTAGCAGCGACGAGAGACCTGGAGGTTATCACTGTTTGGGGACGCAATAATCTTGTACAGTTTAATGCTTCCAAAACACTTTACATTGACGAACAAAAGCGTTCTAGCGCTAATCCGGTTTCGATGGATGTCCGAGTCCTACCTAAGAGCCATTAATTTCGGATGGTCGTAGTCCAGATGGCACGAACACATCTCGGAAAAAGCTATGTTTAGGGCTGAGAAGTACTTCCCTCCACATGACCTCCTCACTCTAGCCTTGAGCATTGCTCACATGTTTGGGATGCTGCCGCCCCGACTACATTATGGATGTTTGATGCTGTTCAGAGGAGAGCTGTACGACTAATCGAAGACTCTTATCTACGGGCAGTGCCGGAACTCTATCGCAGCGGCGGTTCGTCGGCGATCTAGCTCTCTTCTACCGCTACGCCAATGGGCTTTGCTCCTCAGAGCCGTACTCCATGATGCCGCCGCCCCATGTGACTACCAGACAGACCCGCCTGACCTGGGACACATATCCTAACCGTGTCGAGCTTCGTACATCCAGGACTGGCCGATACGACCGCTCCTTTGTCATTTTTGTATCGATATGGTGCAAGAATCTACATGAGGCTTTTCACAGATCTACTAACCTTAGAAAGTTAAAAAATCGGATCAACAAAGTTTCTTTAAGCTCATCTGAGCAGCTGCGGTGCCCTTTCATTTGGGCTTTTCTCTGCGTGATTGCTTCGGTGTAGAAACACTTTAAAGGTATGCTATTTTTTCACAGAACATTTAAAACATGTCAAACAACAATTGTACAAAATTAAATGGCGTTAGCTCATCCGATTGTCATTGACAGCAGTCAATAATTTTAAAAGCGATCACGATACTTAGGCCCGTATCGTCAGTCGTCCCTACAATTGTAGGGCGCCTTTATGGTCTCCTTGATTGTCATAGTTTTCTACTTCTCCGTGTCAGCGCTCTATTTTGAGGTTATGTCACAAACATCTATTTGCATCAAATTGTGCATGCTTTTCGCACCCTTGCTACAAAAGTGACACAACTCAAAAAGTGTGAATTTTGAGTTGTTACTATCAATCACATGTGAAAATAATGGTTTAACTTCCAGCAAAAGAGTAATAAATTATCTTTGTCCATTGACCGCCAGATGGCATATGTGTCGTTTTTGCAGATTCCATTTGTATTAGTATCTCCGGCTAAACAGAGATATTTTCAGTTGTAGCCTGTCTTCAATACAGTAAAGGAGTTACGTGAATGTATTCAAACCGTGTTATTTTGATTTGTGTCGTTTTTGATAAATAACGGTGAGTATAGTTCTTCTAATATTTTGAATTAATTCAGTTTAGAGGATAGAAATCTGTAGTAAAATTGGTTATATATAAAGTTGTGTCACTTTAATTGCTGAAAGTAACACAAATGTTCAAATATAATTTGACTTAGGTCACTTTTGTTGTAATATGTTTTGATTTATGTCACTTTTGTTGTAACAAATTTAACGAAACACTAACGAATGAACTACGTAAGCCTTCCAACATTTTGAAAATTATAAATCTGTGTGAAGTAGTTTGATATGTATTTCACAGAAAATGTGTAACTTCTTATCCTTACATTAAACTTAGATATTGGGTGAGAACTTCAAGGCTTATTAAATGAGGAAATCTAGAATTAACTCACAGACAGTAATTGGAATATTGAAGTTCCTTTTCTCGCTCTTCTTCATAATATCTATAGAGGTCCATCACCTTTTTACCACTATCGATATATTTCCGAATAGTGTAAGCCCTTAGAGATAGTGCAATTCAATTCGGGGTATGACATTAATCAATTTTGACACGATATTTTCACCTTCGGGGTTCACCTGTGTTTGGACTTCATAATTATCAGGCCAAATGAAACTACATAAATATGTTTGACTGACCTTTTTATTGAAGTTTTTTCGTTTTTGACAAAAATAAGCTAGTCAAGAATTTCTTAACAACTCAATTTTTTAGAAGACCACTTATGAAATTTTGTTTTTCGTTAAACTCTTGTCACTGCACCGGGATACTTGTTGATGGCATCTGGATCTACATCTTATTATATATGTCGCTCTCACTATTATGTATGGTTGTTGTTTACCCCTTCCATCATGGATAATAGATCCCTATGTACTACATAACATTTATGTATTACATTTTTGTCATTTTCTATCCCAGGCTTTAAAATAAATCATGCTGTCTCAAAAATGTATCAAATTGTAACACACTCGATTTACCTACCTAATAATGTTTCCAATCGTAGTATAAGACATCAAAGGTTTTGTCTCTTTAGCTTTGTTTTTTTGTTGTTGTAGGCAACGGTATGGATATCTCAAGTTGAACAGCTTTTATTGTTAAGCAGGGTATCGCTGCAAATCAAGCAAAATATCCACCAGAAACAACGAAATGTACTCTTAAAATACCAGCACCTAGTGAAGATCTTAATGCTGAACTTGGTTCTCAACTGAATGACTTGCTTTTGAGTTCGATGATTGAAGCCGAAATATCTACAACTGAGAAGATTCAAACTGATTCTAGCAATCTCAGTGATCATAGAGGATACGACTTGGTTTTATATGATAAACATTGTAATACTACCAATCACCAGCCTCAAGATGCAGTAATGCCTTTACCTCAAGAAAACTTCACGATGGAGACCGTAACTCAAGAATCTCTACGCCAATTATGTGATGTTTAATCGTATTCAATGGCGAATATAACATTTCATTTTATATACCCAAAAAAGATCAGTGCGATTTTTGCTTTTCGTATACAAATGCAGATGATGAAGGCAAACAAAAATTGATGGACAAGTACAATCTCCATATGAAAGAAAAGAAGCTGTCGCGTCTAGAGAAGGAAGCTGATAAAAAAATTACAAATGGTTCAATCGTCGCAGTTTATGACCTAAAGGCAGTAATGCCGGTACCCAGAGGGCAGATCTCCTCCTTCTATTGTAAGACTAAACTGGAATTGGAAGCTGCGTACTTTTTTACCTCAAACAGCTTGTTGAGAAAAGTAAGACTGCTCAACCTTTGGATGTAATACTATATTCAGACAATTGTTGTGGTCAGCAGAAGAATAATTATTTAGTCACGGCCTACTCATATGCGGTAAACAAACTGTCAATCCGCAGTATCACCCATAAATATTTAATAAAGGGGCATTCTCAAAATGAGCGGGATAATGTATATAGTATTATTGAGAATCAAATTATGAAATATCTTAAATCTGGACCGATTTACGTGCCTGATGAGTATGAAACACTAATTGGAACAGCAAAAAAAAGTGGTTCCCCTTACAGAGTTCACCAGCTTACCTTTGAAAATTTCTACGATTTAAAAGCGTTACATGAACAGTGGCGAAAAAACTTTACGACAGATACTGAAAAAGGAAAAGTTGGCTGCAATGACATTAAAATACTTGAAGTGTGTAAGGAATACCCGGATTCATTCTTCTATAAAACGTCCTATGAACAGGAGGAATTCAGATAAGTCGATATGAATAATCTGAAAAACACTAGATCCCAAGAGCATAATACAGACTCGGTTAGCTTAGTTCAAGCTTATTCTCATAAGTTTCCATTGAGTGACTTAAAAAACAGCACTTACAGGAACTAGCTGATAGGGGAACAATTAAAAAAAATATTAGGATAATAGGATAATTAGGATTTAATTCAGTTCAAACCTTGTGAAGGAGTTTTTTAGTTATAAAGACTGAAAATTATTTTAATTTGGATGCAAGCCTCTTATTGTTCCTTATTATGAGTTTCTGTATGTTGTGTTTTTCTTCCTTGTTTAAAAATAGGGGTACCTGTTCAGCATTTAGGGCCAAATCAATGTGTTTTTGATGTTTTGTGTAAGAAAATAAAAATATTTCTATAGTATAATGCTATCGATTTATTTTCAGGTAACGTAGAACTATGAATAAATCTTATACTTCTTTTCTTATTATTTTTAATAACATCGAACAACCAAAGTGTCACAAGTCTTTTGTTCCTTTTCAGTTCTCAACTAAACTGTCGGTTTTGGATATAATTCCAGGATTTTTGTTCAAATCGATCATCAAAAGTGATATAACTTGAAAAAGGCTTTTCGTTAAAGCATACCAGCCTTGAATAGAGAATATAGTATAGCATAAGTATTATTATGACTTATACTATTTATCGGAACGAATGTATTTTTATAAAAAATATTTAGAGTGTAGTGTTTTCTTCGGTTTGCCAAAAACTTACTTTTTAGAGTTGTGTCACTTTTGTAGCAAGGGTACAATTTCCTACAATTTAAAAATAAAACATATCTCCACAATAGGAGAGCGCTGAAGCTGACACGGGACGGGTGCAATCTAGAAATTTTTGAAGGAGTTAAAGGAGGATGACAATCAAGGAGGCCATAAACACGCCCTACAATAATTGTAGGGACGACTGACGATACGGGCCTTAGCAATTTCTGAAGTATTACCGAACTGCGCATACACATGCAGGATTTTGTACCGTGATGAAAGCTAATACATAGATATATGTATGTGAATTTGAGTACATTGGAGTTTTTTTCCAGCCTCGGGCCACTAGGGTGCAGGTGTAAGACTGCTGACCCCATACATATACTTGCAGACACCTAGGGGAGCACGGACCACAGGTTGAGAAACACTGCTCTAACGCATTCATCCCACGTAGTCGAGCTCGTGCCACCATGTATCTTGAAATTGTCCTATTTAACTCTGAATTACCATACTGATCCAAAGCCAAAGTAATAGCAATAAACATATCACAATCGCACAGTGGAGTATTGGTGATGACCGAGCCTTTCTGATGAACCCAACTCGTTTGCTCAACTGTATTATTATTAAAGCCACCTATAATTATGTGAACAGTTTGAAATCTCGATGAGAAGCGCTAGCACGCGGTCGGTGCGCGCAGAATATCGATCGCAATATTGATCTGTAGCGGGAGGTGCAGTTCTGTATTGAGTTACTTTCGCAGATTATCGAGTATTTTAATATAAAACTTAGCAGATAAATTACAAAAACGAGATGCGCAGTTACTCATTTAGGATGTACCTTATAACTTCGAACTTCATATACTATACCTTTAGTTAAATTTTAGTTAGGGCCCTATACCCCGTTCGTAATCCATTTACGCCCAGACAAAATACAATCCGCAATGGTCTTGGAATAATCTAACAAAATAAATGATTATTTTTATAAAAAGAAGTGCACCTACTTTTCACAAATCCTTATTTGCTGGAAGTTTTTGAATCATCGCCCGAATGGTTAATATATGAATCATTACAGGTTCATTTTGAATATCGATCATATTGTCCAGATTCCACATCTTTGTTTCGATTCTCTCTTGAACTTGATGGATACAATCTTTCCAATGGTTTGCCGTCACTCTGTTGACAGCTTTATAAGACAAATTTTTCACGTCAGAAAATTTGTATGTTCTATTCTTTGAAGCCACATAGTTTTTTATATTTCCCCACTTCAAAGCGATTTAATTCGCAGTGATAAGGGGATAGCCTTAAAACGGTCTTATTTTGGTTTTTAGTTGTTTTTTCAATAACATCAAGATTATATTTATAGTTGTGCTGACTGACTAGATGGGTAGGGTCTGCTTTGACCATATTTTCATTGAAACGAATTTTTTTTTATAGGAGCTAGTGTTGAACTTCTGCCTCTCATGTAGGCATTGTGGGATTTTTTTTTAGTTTTCTAGTGTGGTATGCAGCATTATCAAGTACAATGACAGGATTGTCGTCAAGCTTGGAGAGCGTTTCTTCAAACCATCGTTCAAATGAACTCCTGCCCATTTCTTCATGGTAGTCGGTCATTTTCTTTGTCCCCATAGCGCAGTGGGCACAAAAAAATCTTCTCTGCCAATGTGACAGATAGCAAATCGTTTTCCTTTTAATGGAAATAATTATTCCATATAGTGTTCAAGAAAACTGATAATAATACAAGCAGAGTATCTAACAGATGTTGGTTCCAAATCTACCAGATATAGCTAAGTTTAGTGCAGCTAAATTTTCAGCGTGGACCCATAGATTCAGTCTCCTTGACACCATTTTTACAACACAAATGACGAATTGGTTAGATAGTCTTACCTGACGGATTTTTTAGGTCAGTGGTTGTTAGTCCATCTAAGAAGGCTTGTCTTTAATTGTAGAGTAACCATACTTCAGGTTTTGTATGTCCTGCATTTACCATATATTTGGTGCTGATTATTATTATTCTTATAAAACATGAGAACTCCACAGCTATTAGGAAATGAAAAGATTTTTTTGATCAGAGTTTTTAACTGATAAACAGATGAAGTTGTCACGTGCCAAAAACACGTAACCTTTTTTTATTATTTTGATCGCTTATCAGTAATTTGAATATCTCTTTATTGATTATAGAGTGCCGATTCCTAGGCCAAACCCTTTTCAATAATTTTCTTTTGGCAAATTTCATAGTTTATTGATTGTATAATTTCACACGTATTTCTTTCTCAGCGACTCAGTATTGTTTTGAAATCTTTTGGACACAAATGTTATAATATTATTGACGTCTGTCTCAGAAATTTCCTTATAAAATATTATTAGTCGCTCCTAGAGAGTTGACCAGCGCGCCTCATTGTGATTTCCGTACGTACTAGCCGTATATGAATGTTTACTCTCCTATCAAGATACCTTCTGTTAGAATTTGATTTACTATCAGGATACCTTCTCTTGAAATGTGGTTTTGGTTGTGTATGGTCGTTTTTTTCGTTAACTTCCAGATTTTGGGATGTGAACACCCCAAACACCAATTTATGGAGTAGTACTCTTTTATTTTGTGCCTTACGTTTAGTTGTTTTGGTTTGCGTACTACCCGTCCATTTTCTAATGGGATTTTAACCTCCAGCGGTAAGTTCTCTTTTGTATGCCATCGGACTACGTCCATTAATGCATGTCCTAAAGAAGTTTGTTCACTATCTGCTTCGTTTTAGTGAAAAGGCATTGCGGAGAACCACCATTCACACCCCTCCAGCTTTGTTTTGTAGCAGCCTTGTAGCTGTTTCGAATTGAGTATTTTACAGATATTAATATACTAAGTGACATATAAATCCGAACACCCAGTTTAAATGGTTTTATTTTAATAAAATTTTGTATAAGTACTTAATGAAGCATAATAAGTAAATGATAAAAATTTCAATATGATTGCACTGCTTTACAGCCCTTTGACCTTTAATAATGTGTGGATACACCCTGATGTGCTACGCATTCTCCAACGCGCCTAGGCATGCTTCTGATCAGGTGGTCAATGTCCTCCTGTGGTATCTCATTCCAGGCAACCACCAACTCCTCTCGAAGTGCTTCTAGAGTCTGAGGAGGACGTTGCAAATTGAGCAATCTCCTACCCATCATATCCCACACGTGCTCAATTGGGGATAAGTCGGGAGATCTTGGTGGCCATGGTAACAATGTGACATCATTATGTTGAAAGAAGTCTATTGTGACTCTTGCAACATGTGGTCGGGCATTATCTTGTTGGAAAGTTGGATCTGCCAGGGTGTCAAGATAGGGTAAAAGATGGGGTTCTAGAACTTCGTGGATATAACGCTGCGCGTTCATGTTACCTCTGATGAAGATTAAAGGTGACCTGGAACCATAAGCTATAGCACCCCAAACCATAACTCCAACAGTGTGATGAACATGTCTTTCAATAAAAAACTGTGGATTCCTCCTTTCACCACGTCG